AAAAAAAAAAATGCAAGTCTAATCCCACTATGTTCTTACTTAAAATTCTCCAATGCTTCCAATTACTCTTGAGAACATGGCTGCAAAAAACATTCCACCTCAGTTTTGGGTGGCCCCATCACTGCCATGTATATAGTCACACTGTATGTCAAACATGCAATGCTCCTTCTTTCAGCAGAGCCATCAAAGTCCTCTCTGCCTTTGGATACCCTTTCTACCTCCATATTTATCATCATTGTTGGATGGTCACAGCTAGTGAAAATTTGTTGGATGGATGGATGGATGGATGGATGGATGGATGGATGGACGGACGGACAGATGATATGCAGATGGACGGATGGATAAATAGATGGCTATATAAATGGACAAACAAGCCAGTCAACAGACTGGTTTCCAGCACTCTACAGTCAACAGAACAGTTAGGAACCAGCTAGCCAAAGAAGCTATTTTCATAGAGCTGGAATCAGATAAATATGAACCACCAGCTCCTTCAGGGGAGAATGAAGATAAAGTGAGTCAAACCACTTTTAAAATTAACTAACTAATGGAATCTGTTATGTTTTTCTGTCATGCCTGAAATTCATCAAAAGTTCACACTTGACTTTGGAGCTGCTATTGATAAGTAGCTTGAACTGGATATAAAACTAGGCTAATATTTGAGCCCATAAATTTTGAGAATTCTAGCAATTTGGTTATTTTTTTTATTTTTTTAATGTTTATTTATTTTTGAGAGAGAGAGAGAGTGTGTGAGCAGGGGAGGGGCAGAGAGAGGAGACAGAATCTGAAACAGACTCCAGGCTCTGAGCTGTCAGCACAGAGCCCAATGCGGGGCTTGAACCCACAAACTGTGAGATCATGACCTGAGCTGAATCCAGATGCTTAACCAACTGAGCCACTCAGGTGTCCTGCAATTTGGTTATTTTTAATAAATCCCATCTAATAAGCTTTGAATGGATTTTTAAAAATTTGAACCCATGTTTAAATGGGGTTCAAAAAAAGGCAATTTCTGGGGCACCTAGTTGGCTCAGTCAGTTAC